AAAATTTGATGAGATGTTTGAGTCTCATCAAATTTACCTAAAATAACTTTAACTGATTTTAATTTTTTATTTTTTTTAGGTTTAGTCATCAATTACCAATCCTCATATTGTTCCGACCTGAACGACTGACTTTATTCTGTGGAAAACTAAAGGACACTGTATGTTTGGCAGTCTCAGTCACCTTTCACTTACATTGTTTAAAAAAAAAAAGATGAAAAGGAAGCGAATGATGAATTAGTCTGTTGCTATTGTTTTCTGAATATTAGGTGTTTGTTCCTAGCATCTTTTGACATTCACTGAAGAAAGATTTGTGTGTTTATATATATATATATATTTAAAAAAAAAATTGTATTATTATTTATTTATTTTTTAATGTTTTACTGCACTGTCTCTTTAAGTGGTAAAAAAGAAACACTGGTCAAACCTGTCCCACAGTAATAATACTGTTGTTTATATTCTATTCGCGGATTCCTGTTCCCAGTAATCTGATTTCTGTCACTCCATTACAAAATAATCCAATTATAAAATAAAATTGAGCCCCCATGAACTAGATATACGACTCATTGGATTAGCGCCACCTTTTACAGGGTACTTCTGAAACATGACACAGACGAGAGGTTCATATTACTACAATGTGTCAACCCCACTGCTGTTGTTGCGTAACAGAAACTGTAACGTGCTCGCTTGCGTAACCCTCGGGATCCGCGCGCCCCCGCTGCTATAAAAGAAGATATTTGGAAGAATGTTGGTTACTTTGACATTGTACAGACAAAAAAATATGTTCTTTTATGTTCTGTAAAAAAGTCATACAGGTTAAGAATGACATGACATTTGGGGGAAGCTATTCCTTTAGCTGCTGCTTGTCAAGAGCCAAATAATGTAGGGTTCTGTCGTTATACCGTAGTTACTACAGTGGTTAGTACTACAAGAAAAATGTGGTTTCATGGTATCAGCGTTTCACACAGTTTGAAGGAAAGCCCATGTTAAGTTATGTTTTACGGTAGTAACAGATTTCTTTTTAAATAAATGTTAAGGAAAAAAATGTATAGAACCTTCAAAATGGTTAATTTAGAATCTAGAGGTTGAATGTATTGGCCCTTATGGTTGATTACATATCTTGGTGCATTTTCCCTTGTGTGCATGAATTTATTCGATGAAACTAAACAAAAAATTAGCTTTTTAGCAGAAAACACTCAAGATGGTTTGGTGCACACAGGGATAAAAAAAAGTATCCCATGTGATTGTGTACAATGAAATATACTGCTGTATCTTTAATGTTGTGGGCCTATCTTTCTGCCGGAGATCCTGGATATCTTGTTCAGATAGATGACATAATGGATTCTATAAAATACCAATGGATAAATTAAAAACTGACTGTCCATGCTAGAAATCTTATAATGGGCCACGGTTGGATCTTCCAACAGGACAATGATCCACAAACATCAAAATCAAAACAAAAATGGGTCACTGAGAACAAAACCAAGCTTCTGCCCTGGCCAACCCAGTTCCCTGAGCTGGACCTTATATAAAATGTGTGGTGAACTGAAGAGAAGAAGCACCAACATGCTGCAGGAAATCTGAAGGGTCTGGAGAGATTCTGTTTAAAGGAATGGTCTCTGATCTCCTGTCAGATGCTCTCTAAACTCTTCAGGCATTATAGGTGAAGATTCAGAACTGTTCTCTTGGCAAAAGGAGGTTGCAAAAAGTATTGGATAAAAGGGTATGATTAATTGTGACCAATGTGTATTAGAGAAAAACATTTATTTCATAATGAGATTTCTCTCCCATTTTAAATTTCTATTCTCCAATGAAAGGTTAGATTTTAGTAAATTTTTTAAATAAAATATCTAAAGGATTAATGATACAGATTAATTTTCACAGCCTTCTTTTATCATAT